AGAAGCGCATTCACACTTTATAACATTTAAAGGACAAATGCAATAATACGGGTACATTTCAGAATATTTTCTCCGCTAGTAGCCCCGAAATATACTGATGAGAGTCTAAAAGTTTGTAATTCATTGTGCCATCATTGATGTTGGATTTGTGATGTTGATGCTGATCAATAATTGATGTTGGATTTATTATACCTAGTTCAATGCTTGTGTATCCAATTCAACACATTGGCCAATAGATGACCTTCCCTTTATGTGTATATTAATCACGTGTGCTAGAAAGCAAGATAGATTCTAAACTTTGTTTACTCCCGTCAATTTTATCAGTTTAGATTTTTCGTTTATTTAACGCGAGGAACTTTTGGCTTGATAGGGACCACTACTAAAAGCAAAAGATACACTTACAAGATAACTTGTTCATTAATGAAAATTTGTAGTTTATTACCTTTCATCGTGAGACGAACAAAATAGGATATTTATAATGTAAACAGTTAAAAAAATAATTTTATCAAAACCAATTTACACACACTCTTGCTTCACGTTGAATGGAAATAATAAAAACTTCTCCAATTCCAGTAAGAATGCAAGTGTGCTTTTAAATTCTTCTGTTTCAGTAGCTAACCTTGCATCAATGTTGGGAATATTACCAATGCATTGTACAAATTTTCCAGATAAAAATGAATCCAAACACAAGCTCATTTCAATCCCGTTAGGATGCTTTATATACAAGTTCATATGAAGACAACGGTTTTGTTCTGAACGATTTTATTTTTTCTATGAAAGGCTACATCTTCATGACTGTTACATTTTGACCTATAAACGGACCAATTCATTCATGCATAACCTGCTTATTTTCGAGTGACCTTTGAATGACCTTCTGAGGAGTAATTCCCATAAAACAATAATTTTTACATTCAGAAAATTGGTTGCTCTCGAAGAATACTAAAGAAAATGCTAAAGCCTTGGACTCTTTTTAACACACTGTATCGGTAGTCAGACGCCGTCGGAAGGATATCGAGTTTGGATTTATTTTTTATACAGAAAACGTTGATAATTTATTGGCAGTACCCTCTCAGAGATACAAGAAGATCGATTTGTATTACATCGAATATTGATTTAATATTTTTATTTTCTTGTCATCGCATCTGGTCACTATTTTATATTTATGCAATTTACTAGGATTCTCGTTAATCTCATTGTCCAATGCAAATTCTTAAGTTCTTTACTGCATAGTTGATGGTAACGATATTAGTAAACCCAGCGGGGTCGCAAAGAGAGGTTAGCTCGTGCCATGAACAAAGTGTATCAATAGTTTGAAATTGACACGACATTCATTGCTGTACAAAGGATTCTAATTCTGAATTAGTTTTTTAGGGTTCTATTTAGTCACCGCCGACTAGTCGACACTGCTACTGTCTTACTAAATATATTGACATTTCTAAATACACGCCGTTCATAAGTATTAGGGCATTCATCGAATATAAAGTAAATACAAGGTGTGAATAAAAATGTGAAATACTGGGTTGATTCTGTATCCCAAACTAAGACGAAAATCAAGAATATCGGTATTGCGTACAAGACTACGTTTCTGACTTATTAATTGTTAAAAATACGTGCGAAATACGCGTGAAATCGTCCGTCGTGACAGGTTATTCTACTTAAGAGGCACGTTTTTCAACTGTTTCACGAGTTGGTTTCGTTCATTTCTTTCTATTTGTTTGAAACATTTTTTCGAAGATTATTGTCATGTCTTTGTTATTTGAGTTATTTAAATTACTTGTTACGTATTAAATTTATCAGTTTAATCCATCTCCTTTGGAGTACGTATAGCTTTATCTGTTTCATATCATGCAATATAAATTTAATAAAATCTTTATTATATGTCGAAAAAATATTTGTTTTCATTACTTACTGGCTGGTAATGTAATATGGTTCGATACGATTCGAGTTATGTCTAGTTTACACCTAACTATGGACGATATTAATTAAGTTAACTGGGTCGCGCACAATGGTACATAATAAATATTTTTTTCAAATCGGTCTGCAGATTAAAATTAAATTCTTCCTAATGAAATTCTCTATCGATCTGTCCAGCCTGAATTTTAAATTTCGTTGCTGATTTGTTTATAATTATATTTTTTATATTACATCTATGTGTATACATATTCTGACCCCAAAAATTTATACACACTAAGTTTCTTCCAAATAAACTCATTTTTTGAAGTTTCTCTTTGCCATTTTGAATTTCGAAAATCTGAATTTTAATGAATTTTAAAGAGGAAACATCATAGAATACGGACATACATTTTTTAAATTTTGTTAGTCGTGAACCAGTTGTCAAATTGTAAAACAATAAATTTTTCATATTTTTGCATTGCAAAAATAACTAAGTATACAACAAAAATTTAGATAAAAGGGATGATTCTTTACGATTAAAATGAGAAAAGAATACAAAAAATAAAGTCGTATCGTCAATAGTTACGGAGATAAAAATTCCTTTGTCAAGAAAGTTTTCGTAAAAATCAGTCTAAATTGCCAAATTGGAGAGTCTGCATTTTTTAAACAGTTTTGAAACAACCGGAAATGATGACTCAAACGCCCGCCTCTCCCCATTTTCACGTGGACTATAACATATTTCAATTTCAACGAAGTCCCAAACATCGTGTACGCCAATCAAATCTTTCAATTTTCACATGCCAAACCAATTAGATGTGCAATATGGCTCAATGTAATAGGGGAAGAAAGTATGGGTGAGATTAGTGTAAATTTAAAATGAATAAAAATTCTAATTGACTTGTAGTAACAAGTATATCATTTTATTAACAAGATATATTAAGTTCCCACTGGGCGAGTGCTCGGCCGATTACTCGTTAGGTGTAAACTAGACATTACATGGATGGACAACATTTATATAAAGTAATAAAAGTGACCCAAAATATAATTTTAATGGATTACTACATTTTCTTCAGGCAGACTAGAGTCGTGATAATTATGAATGGCAGTGCATGTTTATTATAGTAGAAAACGGAGAAATTGGCTTAACGACGTATACAGGATGGTAAAACATGGGTCTAAGACTTTAGGGACTTATAGTATTCATTCAGAGGAGTAAAAAATGTCTAATCAACATATGTCCTGAAATCAATCCTTCCGATGTAAAATTAACTTTTATATTTATCAACAGGCAATATTGAAAGGGAAGGAATTACACATGGAACGTCTGTAAGGAATGTGAAAACAATCTTTTGTATTTTTCTTAGAAAGGTTCGATTTTAGAACCTATGTTGATTAGACATTTTTTTACTTCTGTCGGTGAGTACTATAAACCCCTAAGGTCTTAGACCCTTTTTTCTAATCACCCTGTATAGGGCAAGGGGTAAGACTTGAGGCTTCTTGTTCTACCTTCGGGGATTGAATGATCAATTATCGACGGCATTGTTTTATATTTACCGAAATATTTATTAGTTTCCAGAGAAACAGTGATGTCTGGGTCCGTTTGGACCCCTATGCATTTCTGTTTCTAATAATATATTTGAACGTAGTTTTTGTAGAAATGCATCACTTCTTATTAGACCCAACACAAACAACTGTTCTACTGCAAACTTGGGTCAAAGTAGACCCAGCAATCATCGTCACGTAGTTAATTGTACGTGAAACCTAAATAGAATTTAGATAAAGCGAAAGAGAACGTCATTTTTTGCTACAAACTTAATTATTAGAGACGTAATCCGTTCATGATATATGTTGTACATTTGTGTGAGTAAAGCTCAGCTCCTTAAGAACATGTGGCCATTCCTACCACTGAAGTAACAAATTTTTCAGAGTTATTGAGTACAGATAGAAAAATGTTTAGGGACCAAGCAAATAATATCTTTAAAAAACTGATGATTTTATCTGTGTACATTCATACGTAAACGATTGCCAGTAGTTTAAGCATGTTGCTCGTATCGGGAAATAAGTCGATTAAAAGTAAAACACATTTTTTGTGTTCTTACAAGTGGTAGTAATGTTTATTTTATTTTCAGTAGCAAGCTGTTGGAATATTATTTCGTCGTATGACGTGAGATGACTTTTGAACTAGTATAACAAAAAATGTCTTTAATTACACATAATTGTGTAATAATATTTAACTATCGCCAATGGTGTATCGAAATCATTGGGAATATGTGTACAAAGGAACACTTAATGGCCCTTATAGTCTTACTGGTATAACATGCTTAAATAATTACTTAAAGATATTAAGCAACATTTCAATAGTAATATAAACAAATGAAATAATGAAATTGTAAATAATTATTTATAGTATTCTTTATAAATAGTATGTAATTACCGTATAGTTCGGAATGAAGATTTAGACCTCACAGAATCTAATGATTACTGGATCTCAGATTGCTCCCGTTATCCGTTTTATCACTAACGTTTAACCAACTTCTGTACAATAGTTTTTATATGAATCTCATATAAATATATATATATATATTATTTTGTCAAACATAAACAGTATTGCAAATGAAGATGGCCAAATCTTTACTCCGAGCTATAGTTAATGTGTACATGTATTTAAATAGTATTATGTGCAAGGTATTCACATTATTACTTCTTTCTCGTTATTATTACTTTGTAGAATGTTATATTAATATATTACATATTTATATAGTATTATGTTATTTACTATTCACATGATTCCAAGCCTGAAGGGCAAGATCGAATGCAAACCAATAAATTCGTATAATAATATATAGACTTGCTGTCATCCTACTTGTTATTATTTTAATGTTCATACGAAATGAAGATAGTCTGCTGTGTATAAACGCACAGTGTCGGATGAAAAATATTTTCAGCAGACAGGTCTGACGGAATGCCTTTCGATCGTGGCCTTATATGATATATTAATTCGATGTTGCTGTTTTATAGTGGTAGTTAAGTGGCTTCCCGAGGAGTGGAAAATATATAATACATGTGTGGACGCAGATGAATTATTCACGTTTGTATGTTGGGGACAGGTGCAGCAGGAGCTGCGAAACAGCGTAGGCACCTGGGTCAGATTCGCGAGCACCCTTATCAAAGGGCTGGTGCTTTGTCGTGAATTCGGAGAGCGCAATCACAATACTATACGCGCCTCCGCAAAGAGGTTAGTTTTCTACAAACATTCAATTTTTCACATTACCTAAATATTTTCTTGTGACATGTATTAAGTTAGTTCATATATTGTTTTTTTTTGTCATTCTCACGCAGTTTCTGCATAGTGTTTCAAGGAAAGAAATTCTTTCACGGAATGCATTGATTTTCCTCTAACTTTGAGACTTTGTTCAATGAAAGAAATTTCGAAAATTTGTACTTTAAGCAATTTGTGTGTACTGTCGTTTCTTAATATGTTGCTACTTTAGGTACGTAGACACGGTGGAAATTTATTTTTTATCGTTATCGTACGAGTTAAGGCTGATTTATATTATCCCTTTAAACGCACGAGAATACCATAACGATTCCGCTTAGACAAACATTGTGGTAACTACGTAAATACAACAGAGGCATTCCACGTGAAAACATGAGTCGAAAATACGGAACAAATTCTTTTCGTTCAAAGTTTTGTTTTCTGGGAAAATCGAATTTGAGAATTAATTGAGTACACAAAAATGTTGAGCGCTCGAAAAATTTTCAAAGCGATTGTCCTTGAAAACTCCTGCATTTTCAACTATCTTCTTCATAAACATCATCTCTTGTCTAATCGCCTTTCATAATGAATGCAGAAAAGTTCATGGAATCTGTAAATGATATTATGTATATCATCAAAGAGGTATAATGCTAAAAAGACATTGAAAACTTCTGTTCTTTAATGACACTTTCTGTTTGTCCGAAAAAACATATTACAATTCTTACGGGGATATTTTGAAATATTAGACAAACTTCTATTCGTCGTTCACTAGTATAACAATCCCCTCTTATAATCGCTTTTTGTCGATATTCGTATAACAGAGACGTTCAACTTCTGCTTTGAAGCTGATGTGAGCGAGTAAATCTTGTAACACGACATACCACAACAAGATTGTACACCCACGAGCAAACTCGGCTTCCGTTAGGGGAAAAAGTGGCGTAAGACAAGATCTTCCTACCATTTAGCAAAATTTATTTCAGCTACTGAAATAAACGTTAAACCGAATGTTAATTTGGCATAAATTTCAGTATTTGCCAAAACTAAATGGTAGGAGGCCCTTAGCCTACCTCACTTTTTCCCCTAGCGGAAGCCGAGTTTGCTCGTTGGTGTACAATAGGTAGGCAAGATGTAGCGAATTCGTAAAATATTTTTTTGATAACCGCCAGGTTTCTAACCTTGGAGCCAGCCTCTTCACAGAAATTTGAAACGGGTGGAAAAGGTCCCCACTCTAACGTACGAGGCCTGACAGCAGAGTAACGGGATTGATAGCGTACAAATTTGTATTGTCAAATTGTCTATAAGTCAACATTATCCCGTTCAAGATAGTTCCCTTGGGAAACCACAAACCGCTGGAGATGTTGTTCCCACTTCTTGGGACATTGCTGGAAGTCTCCAACTGAAATTGCTTTCAGTTGGTTTGTCAGAACCTATTGGATGTTGTCCACAAGTTCCAAGATGACCACCCTTGAGATGGGTTTTGATTTTTGGGAACAGTAAGAAGTATCATGGACTCGGATCAGGAAAGTGAGGTGCTGTGAAACCACAGGAATACCTTTATTGGCAAAAACTTTGGTCACAGATAGTGAGCGTTGTTCTCTTGAACTTGTTGCTTTATGAACAAAGTTCAGAACCTATTGGATGTTGTCCACAAGTTCCAAGATGACCACCCTTGAGATGGGTTTTGATTTTTGGGAACAGTAAGAAGTATCATGGACTCGGATCAGGAAAGTGAGGTGCTGTGAAACCACAGGAATACCTTTATTGGCAAAAACTTTGGTCACAGATAGTGAGCGTCGTTCTCTTAAACTTGTTGCTTTATGAACAAAGTTTTTGCCAATAAAGGTATTCCTGTGGTTTCACAGCACCTCACTCTCCTGATCCAAGTCCATGACACTTCTTACTGTTCCCAAAAATCAAAACCCATCTCAAGGGTGGTCATCTTGGAACTTGTGGACAACATCCAATAGGTTCTGACAAACCAGCTGAAAGCAATTTCAGTTGGAGACTTCCAGCAATGTCCCAAGTAGTTGGAACAACATCTCCAAGGGGGTAATGCTGATTCGTAGACTACTTGACAATACAAATTTCTGCGCTATCAGTCCTGTTACTTTACTGACAGATTTTTTAGTTCCTGTTAACTTTATTGGGAAATATGTTTTTCCTTATTCCGCTAAACTCTAAACTATGATGCCGTTTGCGTTCATGAATAGTGCTGTATTTGGCAATTTTACGAATTCGTTATATCTTAACCAGTGACTATAGGTTCTTGGTAGATGACTTGCTTGACTTGGTCACTCTTCCGTCAATAGCACGCCGAGGATAACAGTTAACGTTCGCCCAACTGATGCACGGTTATTCGTGATCCAAATTTAGATTTAAAATACAGAGGACTCTAACTATATTGCCACTAGGGTCGAGAGGCAAACCGCCTGCTTTGCCATTTAAGGGATCTCCCTACTGTGACGAGTAAAAAATTAGGCGAAATTCAGGATTTTTTTTAGAAAAAAGTATGAGGTATATTGACGTTAAACTTTTTTCTACGAATTCGTATATACTAATAGGATAAGCTTAATTTTTTTCATTTTAAAATGAAGTACAGATTAAAAGTTAGTGTAATTTTCCGGGATTGCCTAAAAAAAGGTGCCTCCATGGCTACCATAATATCAGCTGTTTACGTTATCGCAAATCAAAAATTGAGAAAGATTCTTAATCTGTATTTACGTGGCTATCGTCTGTACGAGAATGAATAAAAAATATTGAAAAATAACAAAATGGCAGAATCTCGCAAAAAAGTGCCGATTTTCGAGAAAAAAGTCGCTTGTTTTTCAAGTTGCAAAATTCAAATTTTGCAAATATCAATTTCATTCTAGTACAGGAAAGAACTATGCACCTATTGAATATGCCGACATAGTTTCAAGTCACTCCGTCAAATACTTTCTGAGATATCGTGGCAGACATTTACGAAAATGTCGTTTTGAGAATAACGCGTTTAAAGATTCGATTTGAACCTGCGTGTCGCGGCGCGCTTCGGTTAAAAGCTAATAAATTCCTTATTATTTCAAATCGGGCGAAAACCTTTTGGGATTATGGTTTTGAAATATTAAGCCTTGAGAAAATGTAACAAAGAAAAAATCGATTTTTTTGACCCGTCACAGTAGGGAGACCCCATAAGAGTCGCTACCTACTCCTGCTGAGCAGTCTGTGTGTGGACGGAGACAGAGAATGTCGATTCTCTTAGGCTGCTTAGCAGGGGTAAGCTACTGTTGACACGTCAGTTAAAGGTCACGGCAGTTAAATGACAAAGCAGGCTACTTACCTCGCGACCCTAGCAACGAGCGATTCACCCGTACAAGATGAATATTTGAAGAATAGACCAGATAAAATGATGGAAAAAAGGGCATTATTGGGTACGGTATTTTACGTCGAACGCGGTCTGACTTGTTGAACGGAATTCGTTTGAATAAATCAGCCTTCACTGGTTTCTTTTACAACATTTCGCGTGCAAATTATAATATACAGGGTATAACAAAAATGTTGGAAGACTTGAAAATGGGAGTTTTGCCTTAGCAAAAATGTTGTCCGAGGCTTTGTTAACGAGATATTAACGAAAAACCCCGACCAATCAGAGCGCGAATCTGCCGACCGAGTTCCCGCGGTAACGTTGACTACGCGCTACGATTGGAACTCGGCCGGCGGACTCGCGCTCTGATTGGTCGGGGTTATTTGTTAATAGCTCGTTAACAAAGCCTCGGATAAGATTTTTGCTAAGGAAAAACTTATTCCCAATCACCTCACGAGTCTCCCATTTCAGGGTCCTCCAACATTTTTGTTACACCCTGTATAAAAATGGATCTTTCGACATGACTCAAGCCCACACTTGGTGGGTATTGCGTTTCTTCTACGCTCTATATTTTACACTTCCATTATTAGCAGTTCTGCTGTAAAAAATGTTCCTACCTGAGTAATATTTTACCATTTTTAATCACCTAGACACAAGCTCGCAGAAACAGCATGTGAGTTCATTCGGCTCAGATTCGATCCACACACTTGCACTATGTCAATGTACCTTTAAGTGCAACATGTATTGCATTCTATAGAATAATATCATTCTGTTAGTGCTGTATGACTTATAATGTATCATAAATCTACACATTCGAATATATTCAATTAATAATAGTATACAAAGCAAGGTTAAATTATGTACAGACAAGATCAACAATTTTCAAGTTCGAGGGAAGTTATTAAAAGCAGTTACAGAAAACTTTTGTTTTATCTGAATCTGGTTTAAACTTAAAGTTAGTAAAAATTAATATGTTTCTTCTGTCTAAATCCATATTATCCTCAAGTTTCAAATGTAAATATACATTTACAAATTTTAATATAATTAGGTTATATTGTAGAATAATTTGGCATCTATTATGGGAGGACATCTATTTCTTCGATATTACGTAAATAAAATTATACATATTTCTTTAATTATTCCAATTGGAACTTTTGTAACGTGGAACTATCAGAATATGTTCGCATGATGAATTTGATTTGCACACAGAAAATACAATATACATATGCATAATGGCTGTCATTATTAGATTAGAGTATAATAATGGCTTCCGTAGTGCACGCTGATTGGGACTCCTGACTAGTGATGGGTATCATCGACTAAAAACTATCCACTAAGTCGATAGTAACCAAAGACTACTTCAGTCGACTAATGTTCGTCGCTTGAAGCCACTACTTTCAGTCAACTAAATTTAGTCGCTTGAAGCTACTACTTTCAGTTGATTAAATTTAGTCGCTTGAAGCGACTACTTCAGTCGACTAAATTTAGTCGTTTGAAGCGATTTGCTCGAACTATCGAGCTATTGATAATTTTTCCATATATTTTTTTATGCATTACCAAGAACTGTGCAAATTATTGCTTATAACCTAATTGATTTTCATAAAAAATGTATAGCAGTTAATTTTTTAAGTGCCAATAT